ATCGCATTCATATCGCACTCTCTCATATCTAACAACACGAGACTAGCGATGGGAGGAATTGTCACATCTAAAAAAAGATTTCCAGGCATATCGAATCTGCTTTCCGTATAATCCAACGACTCTCGATGACCTGTAACTTAAAGAAAATCGGTTGATTTGTTGGCGCTTCCATTACAGCTTCTGGTCCGAGTGTTTCATATGGTCGATTCGATGTGTTAGTTCCTTCACAATGGCCAACGTTCTCTCTCGCAATGGGTCGACATTCTATTCAACTCCAGGTATTTCTATTGATATTTGGTTTGATTTTATGTATATTGAATGTCGATATAGTCATATTGTAGTAATATTGGCGATAAGGACAAACACGGATGCATAGAAAGATCATCGTGCAATGATTATGAAAATGTTACTCGTGGTAATAATGTGTGTGATGATTATTATTATGATTCTTAACTTGATAATATTAGAAATAACAGTACTGTTATTGTTGAAACTACTACTGCTCTTACTGCTACTACTACTTCATGATATTAATCTAATACAGATGATAAATAACAATGATAATAATGATAATGATGATGATAGTAATGATAATGAAAAATGATAACAATAATGAGAAAAATAATAACAAAAGTAACAATAATAGCATTAATAACTATAATAATTACAATGATAATAGTAATAATAAAAATACTGATGATAACGATGATAATAATGATAGTAATGATAACAATAATGATAATGAAATAATAAATAACAGTAATGATAAACAATAATAATATAACGATAATTATGATAATAACAATGATAATGATAAAGATAATTATGATCATAATGATAAATATTGATGATGATACTACTACTACTACTACTGCTACTGCTAATAATGATAATGATAATAATAGCAATAATAATAAAGATAGTGATAATGATAATGATAATGGTAATAATGAAAATAGTGATAATAATAACAGCAATAACAATGATGATAATAATAGTCATAATGATAATAATTGATAACAATGATAGTGATATCATTAATGATGATACTACTGATAATAATGATAATGAATAAGAATAATGATATATAATAATGATAATAATAATGATAATAATAAAAATATAATAATATAATAATAATGATAACGATAATAATGATAATATTGATAATGATTCTAATTATGATTGATAATATAATAATAATAATGACTATAATTATGATAATAATAATTATGATGATAAAATAATAATGATAACAATGGTAATGATAAAATAGCACTACTATACTATACACTTAGTAACGATATGATAATCAACAATAATAACAATAATATTGATGATATAAAATGATAATGATAACGATGATATGACAATGGATGATAATAATGAAATGATATAATGATTGATAATAATGATTATGAAAATGATAATATAATAATGATATATAATGATAATAGCAATGATAAAAATAATAGTGATAATGATGACTAAGAATTATCATAACAGTATATGGATAATAATAATGATGATACTGCTAAGAAAAAAATATATAGATAATGCACATAGGTACCTGAGCTAATCACCAAACACCGCTGCTGCTGATGATAATATCAATAATAAAAATGAATGTGATAATAACAGTATTCAAAACAATCATACAATAGTAAGTATGATAAGATAGGTGGAATAAAGATTGATTTTGAAGAGTGAAGCAATTAAAGGAGAGAGAAAGAAAATGAAGGAGAGAGAAATGCAGGTGTTGATTGAAGAAACATACACAACACATATAAACAGGACAGAGGGGGGGGGGGGAAGGGGGGGAGAGAGAGGGGAGGGAGAGAGAGGGGGAGGAGAGAGAGAGAGGGGGGGGGGGAGAGAGAGAGAGAGAGAATGAGAGTTGTCACTTCTTGTTTTCCAAGCGAATGTTATACTTTATGTAACATAGTTTTTATTTTTTTTTTTTTACACAATGTTAGGCTGTTGGGGGGTGATCAGAGCCAGCGGAATGGATGGTAACACTCTCTGTAACATTCTCTGTCTGTAACATTCTCTGTTTCACTTCAAACATAAGAATCGCCAGTGCTGCAGTGGTTTGTTGTTCATCCCACCACTGCCCCCATACGGTAGGTTAAGTGGTTAATTCATATAATAATTGTCTTAATATAGAAAGAACTTGTCTAATTGGACTATATCTGAATATGCGATTTGAAGCTAATGCAGTCTTTCCTCATACCATAACAATGGCAATGTGGTGTAGATTAGTTCCTAATAATGCTATATCACTCAATAATATCAAATACATATCGTAATTTAGTAATACCCAACGCAAAACAACACCAGTCGCAGTAATCAATAGTAGGCCAAAATGAAGAAGAATACAAACAAAAGAATTCTGGTGCAAATGCAAATGCAAACAAAAGAATTCTGGTGCAAATGCAAATGCAAACAAAAGAATTCTGGTGCACATGCAATTGTCGAAACGATCGGAAGCGGGTGATGGAATATAAGTAGAAGAGCGTCTGGGTCAAAGCACTGCACTGGTGGCGCGCAACCTGTCGTGGGGCGACGGTCGAGGAGGACGGGCGTGGTACAGCCGCATTTGTATGTATTTCTATATTGTGTGTCGATGTCTGGAAGTGTGTGTATGTGTGTACATACAATGTGTGTGTGTATATAGATAGATAGATAAATATTTGTAGAGATAAATAGATATATGTCCATGAATATATTCAATAATTTTTATTAGTAACACAATTTACTCTAATGATTTGGTTTGTTTTCAACATACTATCATTAGCAAAGAACCGTCCCGGAAATTACTTACCCTGCTTTACTTAATTTCATCATAAATAATGTCGGTTGGAGATAACATGTATCGTTTTTGCATGATATAGAGTATATAATTGCGCTTCGTCTCATATATCATTTCAAAAATTCTTTTTCTTTATTTAGTCTTCGGAACGTAATTTTTTCCTGGTTTACCCTCAAAATATTCTTGTGGGATATCAATCCTATGCTAAGGTTAAGCAGATAGCCGATTTATAAATTTGATTTAAAAAAATCTCATTTTGGTATTTTTTAGTTTTAAGTTTAAGCTAACTACATGGCCTTAGGACTCCGGTGCTCTAACGAAAGCTACAAACAGCATTTAAATTGCACAAAAATTACCGAAGCATGTGTAAGAAAAAAATACCGAGAAAACCTGTTGCGAATTTAGACGCTTGCCAAAGTTCGTTATCTGTTATTTTTCGCTGAATCTAAAGATGTTATATATATATATATATATATTATATATATATATATATTATATATATATATATATATATATATATATATATATTCTTATGTCGGATATAAAAGTAGATTTTTTGTCTGAAAAGTTTGGTAAATGCATTGAAATTACTACTAGTCTAACCAAGATTTTTTTTTTCTTTTTAATCCGATTTTGAAGAAATGAGAACTGTGGATGGCAATATCAGTACAACATCATTCTAGTTAGCATGGATACAACGTAGCGGTTCAATTTTGAAAATCATCGAAGCATATGTATGAAGTACATACAATTCGAGAATTACCAATTTTGATTTTTTCCATACTCCAGACTGGGTGGGGAGTGGGGGGGGGGAGATGGTCACTATGTGGTTATAATATTCGAGGAGAAGGATATGTATGTAAACACACGCACATAAAGTTAACCATTTTAATCAGCCTCATTTAGTAGGCCTACATCGACTTTTTATATAAAGGAATAAAATATAATAATCTTTATCAATGAACCGTATTCATTTGAAAAATGTGGAAAGGTATGAATGAGAACGAATATCTTTTGTATTGTGAAGATATTCGTTCTCATTCATACCTTTCCACATTTAACTTTATCAAATCGTTTTCTTTAACAATTTTCAAAGGTAACCGTTTTCAACAGGAAACGAGTGTATAGTTGGTGTTTAGTTATTTGCACCTTGTTATCTTTGCTAAGAAGTGCACAAAAAATCGTCAAATGCCTAGGTGTGGTTGCATATCGAGTACTTTTGCCACCTAAAAACCTACGGTAATGTCTACACGTCATATTATTATTATTATTATTATATCGGACACGCATGAAAAGGATGCGATAGCTATTTCAACCTTAGACGAAGACTGCGCATAAGAACGAGTTCAGAATTCATCTAGGTTTTATTTCAGAGCGCGTATTAGTGTACTATCGCCTTCAACATAAGATAATCGGTATCTCACATATTTCACTGAAGTTCAAAGATCCAACTTTTAGATGCCCTACGTACTGAAGTACTCATTATAGCTGAAACGTCCAATTTCAAATCAAATCAAATTTGCCGACGTTGGAACGTACCGGCAATAAGAGGGAAGTCAAAGCGAAATAATTTAATAATTATTTGTATGGCTATTTGCAAACTTTTTTGCTTCGTACTCGGTACTCATGCAGATCCCTTCGTAAGCTACAACATATTAGTCTCGATATATTTCATGTGTAAAAGTACACAAAACTTTTTTTCTATAGAAAACAACCACAAAATCTTTCGTCCTAAATCACTGATTTTTTTCTGACGGTATAAAAGTGTTCTTTGAACATTCATGAACTCATATCTATGCGCAATGTCATTATCAAATGCCGTATGCAAGACTGCAACAAGCAAAAGTCCACACAGGTGTACCGGGCGCATATTAGCTGCTTACCTTCTCTACGTGTTGGCGGTTCTAGCGTGCGCCTCAAAGGAAATAACTCGAGCTGGTAGTTTGGTAGTTTCATCATCCTTGTGACTATACAAAAGGCTAGCTAACTCCATTTGACCCCTTCATTTGCACCTCTCCTTCCTCCCCCCCCCCTTCCCACGCCGAGGGACGGTCCCTATATGTGTGTGTGTGTGTGTGTGTGTGTGTGTGTGTGTGTGTGTGTGTGTGTGTGTGTTGTGTGTGTGTGTGTGTGTGTGCGTGTGCGTGTGTGTGTGATAAACTAATATAATTTTGGTTTCAGAAACAAGACCTTGGTGGATCAGCGACGCGATGCCTCTCTCGCTGCACGAAGCCCTGCTGAATCCCAAAACACTACGAGAACTGCAGCTGAACCCTAAGACTTTTAAGTACGTTAAATTGGACTGTCTACATATATGTGTGTGTGTGTGTATGCATGTATGCATATATGTACACACACACACACACACACACACACACACATATTATATATATATATATATATATATATATATATATATATATATATATATATTATATAATATACACATATATACATGTATATGTATGTATATATATATGTGTATATATATTATATATATATATATATATATATATATATATATATATTTATATGTATATATATACATATATATCGCTCTCTCTGCCCCCCCCCCCTCTCTCTCTCTCTTCTCTCTCTCTCTCTCTCTCTCTCTCTCTCTCTCTCTCTCTCTCTCTCTCTCTCTCTCTCATCCTTCTCTTCTCTCTCCTTCTCTCTCCTCTCTTCTCCTCTCCTTCTCCTTCTCCTCTCCCTCTCCCTCTCCCTCTCCCTCTCCCTCTCCCTCTCCCTCTCCCTCTCCCTCTCCCTCTCTCTCTTCTCTTTCTGCTTTCTTTCTGCCCCTCTCATCTTTTCTTTTCTGTGGATCCTTTCTCCTATTCCTTCACATTCATTTCTATTGTAGTAACATCTAGCTCTGAAAAAAATTATTTCTGATTCTTAAAAAAAATATCTGAATTGTGGTGTTACATGAGATGTTCTGATGATGAACGATCCCGGAGACCAATTTTACCGAATCATTTATTTAATGTATTCTTACTTATCCTCATTCCCGCGAGAGACATTTTGTGAGAAAGGAGGAAGAGAAAAACAATAATTACAGTTCATTCCAGACCCCACGGCTCAGCTGCTGCCTCCTCGTTCCAGGTTTCGTCAAGCGGTGGAGCTGAAGGTCGCCGGAGAGAGCTCAGCCTTCATGAACTTCCGCCCAGATCCGGCCATGGAGGGTCGAAGCATAATGGGCGGCCCCGTGGGAAATCTGGTCAGCTACTTGGCCAGGGCTCTGAATTTCACGTAGGCCAGAAGCTTCCCGGTAGTCCCTGTATGATTAACAATGAAGAACAGTTTGTTAACTACGCTTAGAGAAATATTTTACATATATATTTACAATTTTTTTCCTGGGTGTAAAACTGTAGAATACCCAAAGCACAGTTTATGTTAAAGATAAGGAAAATAAAAGGCTAGATTCTGTTTTCAGGTGGTACCCGGTACGGCCGGCTGACGCAACCTTTGGTTCGAAGATGCCAAACGGAAGCTGGTCTGGCGTTATGGGATTAGTCAACAGGGGGGTAGGAATTGCTCGAGGTTTTAGCTTTACTTGAAAAAGAAGCCATTTATTTATCGTTATGTCTATATGTTCGAAAGTCATTGGATAAAATCGCTTTCTATGACACCAAAGTCAACTATAAAGAAAACGTAAAACGAGAAAAGATTGGCGCAATAGAAACAAAAGAGAAAATGGAAATCCAAATTCGGTAGATTATGTGACATTCAATTTGAACTTTCATTCCGTGACAATGGATATCATACAACACGCATACATTTCGCAGGAGGCAGACATGGGCTACGGACCTCTCCTGATGTCACTTGAGAGAAGCGAAGGCGTAGACTTCGGTGACACGCTGATGTTTTTTAATTTCAAAGTCATGTCCGGCAGAGGAAGCCCCGAGATGAACCCCTGGGGCTTTCTGTACCCCCTTACCCCCTTGGTGTGGCTGGGCCTCTTTGCTGCCTTGGTGTGTGTGTGGTTGTCTTCGGTGCTGCTGCTTAACCATGCCTTGAGGTCCTCGTGGTTCGATCGGGTGGTTGGCCAGTTCACCATTCATATCCGCGTTCTCCTACGCCAAGGTAGATGTCCTTGTGGGATTCCTCACTATGTCACGAGAGGAAAAGAAAAAAAGCCAAGCACGTTTAGCTTTCTTATATAAGAGAGGAGACCTATTTTTCTGTTCACAGCTTGAACAGAAAAGTATTATAAAAAAAAAACATATGCTGATGTAATCTCTCTCTCTCTGCTGAGTATAAGTGTATGTATGTCTGTGTCTACGTGCTTATGAAGGAGGAATAAGGAAGAAATATATTTGTAAATATGTAGGTAAAGAAAAGGTGAAACGGAGAGAGAGAAAAAGAAAAAGTAAAAAATAAAAAAAATAAAATGGACGAAAAGAATAGAAAGAAAAATGGGTAATTTTCTATATTACGTCCGCATGACCGATATCGACGATTTGGTATCGTTGGATTCCCTCTCACTCTATACAATGCAAATAGATAGGTTTTATTGCGCGCTAACCCCCCCGTTAGCGACAAACTTGGTCCGATTGCGGGGGGCGACGATGTCGGAGCGCCGGACGTAATATAGAAAATTACCCTAATAATTTAACCTCACAGTGAAAATAACCATAGTTATTCACATGACTTTCCATTGCAGGGGCGCCCCCTGCGACCCCCCTGGGGGGCTGCCGCCCCCAACCCCCGCCGAGGAAACAAAACCTCCACCACGTATTCACGGCAGGATAGAGCGCACACGAACTAGATGCGGAGCCGATAACCTACAATAACCTAGGATTTTTAAGGTACTAACCTGATTTATTAATGCCGCTAATTACTAGGGAGGGTGCTCCTTTGCCGCAAAATGTGAAGGAGGCAGGGTGCGTCCGGCAGGAGGTCCTAGGCCGGAGGATACAGCGACGCTGCAGCACACAGGAAGTGATGCAACCTCACATTCAGGTGATGGCTGCCCGCACCTGCCGCAATCTTTCTCACGACGAAGGAGGCCGTGGCGGAAGCACATATCTAGCATTTTTTCTTGGCTAATGGCAATCTCGCGCAGAAAATCCGTCTCGGAGTACGAGCACCCTCCACACTCGGCCATCGCGGCGACTATGACTGACTTCTGAACGCGACGGTTATTTCGGTTAGGAATACGAATGTCGTTATTCCAGAGGAAGGGAAACTCGACTTTGAGGCCATCGGTGTAACATCGAAAAAGGCGCAAAACCCCGCCGACGAGGGCGGGCCACCGTGTTTATCCTGATTATACTACAATCGTCTCTATATACAATGCTGATTATAAATAAGGTTAATATGCTGATTCAGTGAGAATCTTACGAGGTAATACGCCCCCTGCTCCGACATCGACGATGATTTGTGTACGCTCTAGCCTGCCGTGAATACGTGGTGGAGGTTTTGTTTCCTCGGCGGGGGTTGGGGGGCGGCAGCCCCTGCAATGGAAGTTATGTGAATAACCATGGTTATTATGGAAAGTTATGTGAATAACCATGGTTATTTTCACTGTGCGTTATATATTATTAGTGCTTTAACCCGCATTTCCCTGGAACCTTTCATGCCTCCCTGCTATCGGGACAAGTTTGTCGCTAACGGGGGGTTAGCGCGCATTAATAACTATATATTTGCAATGTGGAGAGTGAGAGGAATCCAACGATACCAAAATCGTCGATATCGGTCATGCGGACGTAATATAGAAAATTGCCAGAAAGAAAAGGTGAAACGGAGAGAGAGAAAAAGAAAAAGTAAAAAATAAAAAAAATAAAATGGACGAAACGAATATAGACAGAAGACCAAACTCGTGAACGCCAACCTAAGAACACATCCCCATTGCAGATCTACCCAAACGGTTTTCCCACGGGCGTGAAATGGCCTTGGTTGGCAGCTGGATGATGGTAACCATGATCGTCGTTATGGGCTACTCGAGCACCCTGGTCTCGCTCTTGGCCGCCAGGAACATCCCGCAGC